TCTAATGTCAAGGTAACTGGTCCCCTTCCTTTGTTTATGCTATTGTTAATGACGGGGCTCACTCAGCCCTGGCCTCAGCCGTGCTTTATGGCATTAATATTGACTTGAGAGAATAGGCAGGAGAATTAAAAACCAAAACCCAGAACAACAGCAGCATCCAGCCCAAGCCCAGTTCTTCAGGTGAAACATGCTGCTTCTGGGCTACTGAGAACGATACTGTCATCTCGCCTGGTATTCACAGAAATACACGTACCGTTCATAAGATTAAACACGTCCGTATCCGTACAGAGCAGCCGCTGCAGATGCTTGTAGGAAATGCCTTGTTTAGTCCACAAACTTTTATCTTTTTACTTAAAATGTCAATGATGATTTTACCCCATCCTACAGTCATTTTCCCCCCCCCCAAAAAAAAAAAAAAAAACCAAACTAAAAAAAATTAACAAAATAATTCTTTTGATTACGATAATCTAAACGTAGCAGAAACCTGAGCGTTTATTGACTCATTTTCTTCTTCTCGAGGTAGCGGATGGTATTTAAAGTTCAACATCTCACACAGCTCCTTGTTTAGTTTAATTTCCTCGACAATCTAGGTGATTTCAGCAAACTGAGTTAAGAATTTTGGTACACATTTGAGTATGGATCTGCATAAAATAGAGTAGGCGGCAGAACTGGGGAGAGGAAGTTTTATTATTTTAGGAAGAGAGGGGAGTGTATGTTTGCGTGTGGGGGGGGGATGCGTGTGAGAGGGAGAAATGGAAAGCCTTGCACCTTACATTTGGTCTGTGGCTTTAGTGTGGACTCTGGAACAAATATGTATTAGATTTCTCTGAGAAATGTCCCACTCGGGCAGATGGGCCCCCGTTTTCAATGAGAGATCCAGAAGACGGAAGAAATGTGTGTTACTCCAGCACAATTCTTCACCATCCCATTTCCCCCCCCTCCCCCCTTTAGAAAGATTAGTTTCAGCTCTGCTATCCTGGGCCCATTTTCTGTCAGGGAAGGGATATAATAATGATCAATGCCCAGCACTTCTCATTTCTTTTGTACCTGGTAAACATTCGCGATGTCTCGAACTTGGAGGGGAGGTGGAGAGATGAGCCCAAACTCAGCTTCAGAGGATGTCCCCGTCCTCTGGCTCTCACCAGCACTCACGCAGGGAGGGAAAAAATCCAAACAACCAAACCAACCCACTCAGAAGACCCTCCAGCCCACACCTCCCCTACAGCCACGCGCTCGCTTTTTGTATTTTAGCTGCCTGCTCGGTGAAGTGGTCTACGAACACTGGGCTACCTGGGTTTATGTGACCAGCTCAGGGTGTACATTAGTACTCCAGTTGGAAATGGAGCCTGGAGTTGTTGAGCAAACAGTTCCCGCTCGACTGTAGCGCGGACTGAATGCTGTATAGTCAGCTCTATGGAGCGCTGGCAGGGAAGTCGCACCAAGCATTTCCAAAACTAATAACAAAAAGGTTACTATATATAAAACGTTTATACTGCCCACGCTGCCTCAAGTTGTTTAAATTTCGGTTTGATGCACATAAATATAGCAGCCATGCGGTTCCCCATTAGCCAGTCCCTGCTTTTTTAAATCAATTCATTTCAGTTTGAAAGGATGGCCCCTGACGCAAGACAGTCAACAACTCTTTGGCTTTCTCCACTGAACGTGGACCTCAGGAAGAAACAGCATCTCTCTTTGTCATTTCACACGCATATCTCGGTGCCTTGACTTTGTGTTTAAGAGCAGGCCTACTACCAGTGAGGGTAACAGTCCCCAGCTGGTTTCCCCTTCCTAATCCATTTTCCCCCTTCTCCTCTTAGGCTCCTTCTGAGGAAGAAATAATTCTGCTGGGACCCTGTGCCTGGACTTTGGAGGGCAGGGCGCAGCGGTCTGATCTGAAAGCACCACCGTCCCTGCGGGTAGAAACTCTCCTCTGTATCGTGCGCCTTGCAAGAAAGGCAGCGAGGGGACACGGAGTGACCAGGCATCTGGCATCAAGGAGCAGCAATCCACTTCACGCTGCTGCGGGGGAAAGTTTGTTCCCAAACCAAACGCTCTGTGGTGCGCAGTACTGGCGTCGAATCGGTTCGAACCACCCCAAGTCTAAAATAAAGGTCTCCGTTCGGGTATGCCAGTGAGCTTGTCTTGCTAAACCTTCCCTGTTTGCGTGGAAGGTATCGAGCTGATGTAACGCTGTCTTGTCACCCCACTGATGTGTGCAATAGGAACAATTCAGAAAAGTTCTGTTTAGCTTTTTCCCCCCTGTAGCTGAAGAAATGCAAGCTATCAGAAACAAGCCTATGTTTGAAGGTACAGTTTTCAACATGTGAGTGGAAAACATATGTACTGGCACAATTCAACTGCTCTGTAAGGGCTGTGCTCGGATTTTGGCTTTTAATCTCAACTCTGTTAGAGAGAGAGAGAGATGCAAAATGGAAGGGAATGTGATTATTTATGCTGTAGCTTTGTGATACTCATCCTATAACCGTTGAGGAGGTAAGCAAAACACTCTGCTAAAGCTTTGGGTGAGCCTGAGTTTCAGGGGGACTCTAGTCTTCACAGGTTCTCACTTCACTGCCTTTCTTCCCTTGGTATTTGTTATATGGGAATATTTTTTTTTTTTTGGTCTGCTGTTCTACGTTTTAAAGTGAGTAGAGACTAAATCCTGCTGAGAGAGAGACAGCTCCCTCCATCACAAACTCACGTTTGGCAAATGCCTACCCCCCTCGACCACCCCCCTTCAAGCCATCCTCCCCCTTTCAGGGGAGAAAAGAAAACCTTAAAAGAGAAAGAGAGAAGGGGGGGTGAAGGGGGGACCCCCTGATTCCTCAGTGGCCTGCACAGCTCGGACAGCTCTCCAAGTTCCCCTTTCCCTCCTGCAGACAAACCCCGTCGGGGGAAAAAAAAAAAAAAAAAAAAAAAAGCACATGCCTGAACTTTTAACGTGGCTCGGGTTTTTTACAATTCAGGCTCAATTTTAGCACTTTCAAGGGGTCAAAAAAAAAAAAAAAGAAAAAAAAAAGGGGGGGGGGGGGGGGAAGTTTTGAGCGAAACGTT